TCATCTTTCGGTTTACAGGTTCGAAATTTTACAAGTTCCAAAGTTATGAGTTCGGAGGTTTATATGTTTGAAAGTTTACGAGTTTAGAAATTATAAAGTTTACGGATTCGAAAGTTCGCAGTTTCGAAAATTTAGCGGTTCGGAAGTTTATGAAATTTATGGGTTCGGAAGGTTGTTGGTTTGAAAGTTTATGGCTTCATTTTTATTGTATCTAAATTATTTATGAATACTCTTGAGAAGTTGTTTTCCTTAACTTGCGTACCAAACACCAAAAAATAAATAAGATTACTACTTGTTTTCCAAGAAAATATTTTCCACGGAAAATATTTTCCGTTATACCAAATAAGTATAACACACCCTTAGTGTTAGACTTTAGTACCAAATAGCTAAATTCTCATTAGTCAATTCAATTATCCTAATAGTAATTGCTTTCCTTGGGATTCCGACCTCCAATTCACGTTCAGAGGAATATATTTGTTTGAAATTTACACACCTTAAACTATAAGGTGTGGTCGAGTAATATCAACCCCGAACTATTCACGGCATTTCAGCCCATCACAACCTTGTCAATATAGAACAATAAATAAAATGTGATCAGTTAGTTGTCCACTGTAAATAAACTTGCAAAATATTTCTGTCGTTTCTAATGTGTATTGGAATTAAATTGGTTGGAATAGTAGATTCGACAAGGTATAAATTGGTTGGAGTTATCAGCTAAGCATTTTAAGATTACAACACAATACATTAGGCGCTGGAAAAATTGAGGCAACAATATGGTATATAAAAAGTTCCTTCACCTATATCAGGAGAATCTGTGAGGATAGGGTATCAAAATCAGCAACTCTTTCATGTAAAANGACCGCGAGGCCCGGCCCGTTAGGCCCACTAAGGCCCGGGCCCGGGACAAAATACAGCCCTATCAAAAACTCCTCAGCAGCCTCATCCTCTGGCGTCTTCTTCTTTTTCTTCTTAGGCTTCTTCGACGACTTCATCTTATTTACGTAGAATTTATGGAAGACAAGATCCTCAGGGGGTACATCTGTTTCAGCCAAGGAGAGAATTTCTGACCCAATCAACTGCCCTTGCATGTCAAGCTGCAAGAAAAATAAGATAAATGTGATGAAACAAGAGATATTAAATAATCACGTCAAACTTTCGTGCAAGCAGTGACGGAGTAAATCAATTAAAGCCTGAATCAAAGTGGTATTGGTAAATATCCTTTGTTATCTATAACAACTAACCTTCTTAGCCGGTTCAATCTGGGAGGCACCGTGCCAAGTGTTTTGTTTTGGTTTCTTTTCCATGAACTTGTCGAGGAAAGCATTCAGCGAAAGATCATTCAGGGGGTTACCATTATACACAATGGTTGCTCCTGAAAGAAGGGTTCTAGCCATGGTAGCAACTGATGGATGTGCATGTGATGCCAGTACCATCAGCTCCCACCAGCTAACACGATCTGCATTGCTATTTATTTGTACAAGTCAACAAAGAAAAATTACATTTTCTGTATACTCAGAGAAGAAATTGATAAAATATTCTATTATTTTCAGTAAAGAGGTTCGCGTGCTGGCAACAAGAGTGCAATAATTAGGATATCCCCATTTACACAAGGGCAGATATACCAACTATCAATGACTTCGTATTTCTAAGGTGTATTCTACACATATTCCCTCCATTATATTTAATGACACTCTTTCGTTTTTTTATCCATTCCCACCTTTCTACATCTAGAAACTCTTTAATTTTAGTATATCTTTTTACCCTAAATGATGTCCTATTTTTTTGGACAACAGTGGTTTCTTGGCCAGCTTGCGTATCTGAATGAGAATCTCTTACAGGAATGACATGGCATGTTGTAGACCAAAAGACACAAAGGGTACTTTTGGTATGTTTCCAAACAACCACTTTCATATAAAAGGAAAAAGAGGAAGTAACAGAACTTATATTTTTACGGACAGTGTCTTTTTTATGTAAAAAAGTTATCTACCTTTGGGAAGCCAGAAGCCAAAAAGGAATCATAGCCAATTCAAATGAAAGCAGCACGATAAGCAAGATAGTCTTTGATCTTTGCTCGTGACATTTCACAGGCTTAATAAATATCTAAGGCCAGAAAGAGGGCAATAACAATATCTAAGGCCAGAAAGTGGGTAATAACAGTACCTGAATGAAGGTTCTCTGTGCCGTGGATCATATCCTCCGGGCAGTAAGTGCTTTTCATTTGAACCTTCAGGTAGAAGTTTGTTAAATCCGGACAGCAATGTAGAATCCTTTGGTTCATCTAAACCACCTCTAGCAGGCGACAAATTAGCTTGGAGTGAATCATCCTCAGACTCGGAAGTAGAACTACCATCTTCCTGCAGGGAATGATTGCGAATTTGCAAGTGGTTAGATTCTAGAGCAACTTCACTTGCATTATCTGTTCGATTTGGTGGATTGGGTCGATTTTCATCTTCTTCTGTAATATCCTTAAAATGCTCAAGATCTTCATCAGCAGACTCACTCTGCAGCATCATGTTCCTGCATGAAAAATGTAAGACATTTCATGTTGCAAGAAAGATCCTTTAGCCATGTCGTAAACTTCGTCAATGGCAACATACTATTCCTACAACCCTACCAGAGAGTTGGTCTTGACTTAAGGACCTCGGACAGAAGAAACAGACACCCACATGCGTATTGAGGCTGCTGCTGAATTGCAACCTGTTAATACCAGACACTCGATAGTAAGGTGTAAGAATGAAAACAAATTCTCAAGAGGGCAAAACCAGTATGTGGGCTTTTTAAATCAAATAAAATGGAAATTCAAGCACAGGACCAAAAGAGTACAGCTCCTTGATGGAAAAAAAATATGAAAGAATATAATATACAGCTTCGAGTAGCTTCTTTTTCCCTAAACTATGTTTGAATCAGTGTGGTTCTTCAGTGAATTCGAATTAGCTATTTGATAGTCTATCACACAAATTTATATAAAACCAATGGAAGCCTAAACTTGATATACTTGCAGGAGAATACATGACAAACATCTGCCTCAAATTAAATACACCTAGCATACTTGCTCTTTCATATTGCTGACATTGCAAGATTTCACATAATAACAAATTTACACCTTGAACAAACCTGCAACAATCGCTTTGAGAATGCAGCAACTCGCTTCACATTTACATCATTTTTCATAGCCCTCAGTAGCAGGCCAATAAACATTTCCTCCTGCAGATAAAACCAGAACACGCTCAGACATAATCAGGTAAAGATTAAGGTAGCAAGAAAAAAAACAGCCATTTCACTTAAGGTTAGATCCTAACTGAAGCACAATTGGTCATCAATTGAATGAATACAGGTCATAATCAGCATTGCCATAAAGTGATGCATTATGACAAAATTTAGTTCAAGACAACAAGAACTCTTCCATATGTTTTCCATTCTCGGCAGGAGGGGGTTGCAGCAGAAGCACAACTAAGGCTGGAAGTACTGAAGAAATAATGTCTAAAATTACAGGTCTGATAAAACTTCTTTTAATAAAGCAAATGGGAAGTTTATCGTGTAACCAGGTAAAGTAGCAGCAAACTTCAGAAAGGAGGACGACCTAATTCCTCACAACTTAACCTTCTCAAGATCTGTGACAAAAAGAGCAACATGATGCAGCTACTAAATACAGGGATGGCCAACTTTTACAGCTCACTTACTTTATACATCAATAATATTAGCTTCACATTCATATGGCGTATGACATCCATATAAGTTGCTTCGGATATTCATTCTCTATGACTTCGATTTTCTGGTGCTGGGGCTTATTTCCTCTATAAATCGAAGGATGTGTGCAGCAATGACTACCTTAGTTCTTAGTTATGAATGTTTATGGCTTTCTTCAGAGAACATCTTGCAACAAAATATGGATGCTTCACCAAAACTTTAGTTCACTCTTGGAATTTTCAATTTTTCTAATCTCATTTTCTCTGCTTGATATTGTTTTCAAAATGAAGGTATCTCTAAACCATGGCATTTTTGCTTAAGTTACCTAGTAATGACCAAGCACGTTACGGTTAGATAGTGAAGTCTAAATTGTGGATAAAAGTTATACTCAATGTAAGAGCTCCATCAATATGTCACCACTATGGTAGTCCACTCTCCTACCATCAAAAGTTAGAGAAAAATTTTGAATAATGGGTCATCGGAACAAGAGCCATGCTATCCGTCAAGTTTTCAACAAAGGAACTAACATAGCATAAAAGCAGAAAGTGAGAAAAGGGTTGTATCCAAGACTCTAATACAGATCTCAACAGCCAGCCATCAATTATTTGGTTTTCACAAACCCCTTCATGCGCGAGAACCCATATTCATACCAGCCTCAGCCAACAATNAAAAAAAAAAATCCTAAACGACATATGTGTTAATTGAAGACAGTTCTAACTACTATCACCCTGCACTTTCTACAAGAACTTCCTAAAACAGAAAAGTGATTAAACAACGAACCTTCTTTTTTTGGTTCGAGAGCGGGAAGGGAATTCTTCAAGTGTATATGTTTGTCCTATCAAAAAAGCTTAAGCTGAACCAGAAAGCACAAGAATATAATTATGAACGTTTCCACATACCTTGGAAGAATTCATTGCAGCTGGTAGAAGGAGCTTAGCATACAAGGCACGATAAAATCGATCACTAACAATGTGATTTTTTGCTGAGATCTTATCTAGGAGCATGAGAGCTTGAACTCCAACATTAAAGTTACTTGAATGAACCTGCACATTCCAAGCAAATTATAAAAAAGATAAATCTATTCAACAACATCAGATACTTATCCAACAATCGAGCGAGCAGTCTTCCACAAGAACTTCATGACCAATATCATAAATCAGAGCTTACCAGCTGAAACAAGACGGGTGTATGGGCCTGAATGAGATCATCAGCTTCATCACTTGAAACAAAAGGGAATGCTCTGTTCACACCCTGCAAAGGAGAAAATTGAGCAAATGGAGCAGATCACTATTTTTTCCAAACCAGCAGAAACGTGAAGCATAACAAGCACTAATGCAAGAAGCTGCAAAGATTGAGCAAGCTCGAGGAATCATAAAGCGAAGTTGCTGGACATAGAACGTAAAAGGGGCAATGTGGTTGTATGTGGAAGAAGAAAAAGAAGTGGGGAAAGGAAATTTATTGAAAATAATATCTTTAAAATATAAAAACTGTCATATTAATTTTTTTAAAAATTATAATAGAACTTTGAAAATGTATATATATTGATTTCGGTTCAATCCATTTACTACTATTTTAATCCAAATAGATTATCTAATCTTAACACAAAATTGTAAATTCTGAAAGATTATATTTAAAAGTCAAATTAATTAACCCTTTCAAAGTCTAGTTTAATTCTATTGTGCTTCTCTAAAATATCGAATTTCTAGATGTGTAGTTCCTAAACTGTAATCAAATGAAACTACTGGTAGAAAATGAGTATTAAATTAGGGTTGGAGAAAGGAGCAATATAAGGGTATTTGGGTCATTTACACTACATGCGCTCCATTCCAAATAAATAAAATGGTATAGCAAGCTAATTATTAGAATGATTTGGTGCATCCCTACGTTCATTCACGCACATACCAAGCTCTATCAGTTATCTGCATAGGAGAAAGGTGGAAGGTAACCAGTGGATTACTCGTGGTACATACAAACTGGGTCGAGCACCACTGTTACAGTTGCGCTCATCTTTCAACAATAAACCTTAGTTTTTTTATCTTAAAAGAAAGAATCCAGTAAATTATGTGAATTACCAAACATCTGCATTGTTGACTAGAGACTAAACGAGCTACCTCAATGAAACAGTTCCTAGACAGATTTTTATATTCTAACCACCACCAAGTCGACAAATGCAAATGCTCCTTTGAGAAATAGAAGTGTTACTCTTTGTGCAATCCAGAAGAATTAACAAAAAAGAAATAGAACTAGACTAGCCAACACAAACCGTAAGAAGTGCTGATAGCNCTAGCCAACACAAACCGTAAGAAGCGCTGATAGTAAGCGTGAATCCATTTCAATATGAGATTCTGATGAATCTTTTTCTTTCTTCTCTTTCGAAGTGCCAGAAACCTCTTTATGTCCCTCGCTCTTTTTATTCATCATCCGTCCATCCCCTGCTTCAGATATTAAGACCTGAAATGTTGATTCAGGATAAAAGGAGGTAAAGAAGGATGTTACATGAAGTTATGCAAAACACTTGATGAGCTTCAATAATAAAATATGAAGCTCTCAGCTCTACTAAGACAAAAGAGCAAAGATGCATAGGACTAACTTATTGGACTATGACAGCTCTAGATCATACCTTAAATAGAGCAAAATATACATCTATCAAACGCTTTGCCACCTTTGGGCCATCCCCCCTGTGACTTAAACGAACTTGGCTTAAAAAGTTAACCTGTTACAATTACAGATAAGTAGGACGTTAGGACTACATATTCTGCATCAGCAATATCTAGAGATGACGACTTTAAAACTACACATCTGCATTAGCATATTTAGAAATGTCGCTAACAGCAAATTGGAACAATAAATAAATACAACATGACTTGCCACCTGAGTTTATTGTTGTATACTTATAAACAGACTCATAAAGATATTCTGATCAAATGGCCAAGTCGGGAGATTAAAGCAAAAGTAAGTTTCAAAAATAGTAAAGTTCAGAAAAAAGACAAGGATCACATCAATGTGTTTACTGAAAACAAGCAAGCAGAAAAAAAGCTCCTACCTAAGAACAAACCACAATGACATTTAAAATTAGGGCTTATTGGTTTGATTTATCTTAAGGAATCAGGTTTTACCGGTTCAATCAATTTCATTAACCACATACACCAAATTTTTGGAGCTATTACTTCGAGAAAAGGATTGTTTTAATCGGTAATGTTATAGTCACTTATATACAGTAACAGTTCTCATAATCCAAACCAAACAGAAGAATTTGGATGGACACACTCTGTAGAATAAGATTTATCATATCGCAAACAAAAAGAACTTGAAGAGGACAAAAGGTATTCGCAGTTGAAAATACAACCACGAAGTACCTAGTGTGACATGCAAAAAAGATAGCAATAAAGCTTCGACATACAGCATGATACTTGGCTCGCAATCCCAGATGAGGCCGGAAAAGAAAATTATCAACTTCATCAATCACTACAGCCTGCACAATAAAACAAATAACACGTTAAACAACAAACTTTCATCAGGAAAAGTATCACAACAGAAATCATAACTGCACTTCAGTAATGCTAAGGCATGTGCTTCCTAACAGCTTGTCTATAGTCCAGCTGACTCTCTAAGACATTGATGTAATAGTACCTGCCCACCAAACCATCGTGTATGCTTAAGAAATATAGTCCTTATTTCAATATGCATTTCAAGGCATAATATTCTAAAAATGTAACCATTTTCAAAGAGCACATTATCCTGCTTGGTCTTATCCGAACATCACAACTAAGTTAGATTTGTATTTGCACAAACTTCTAACAATTTGAGTTGTAACAGAATAACGACTACACCGGCACTCTCCATTTTAAATGGGATAGATTATGCATGAACAACATCCTTCAGATGGGCTTTCAACAAGCACTCTTGAAAGTAGCTTTTTTCTTTTGAGGGACACTCCTTGAAGCCAACTTGCAAATTTAGAGATAGCATCATCCCAAAGCTGTTTGCTTTATTTTTTTCTTTTGAATAATTAAGCTTTTTGCTTTATTTTTTTCTTTTGAATAATTAAGCTCTTTGCTTTACAATCGTGGACCTCACAACATGAAGGATATACAGGCTAAAGATGTGATCAATATAGTAATGTCAAAGCCAACAAACGAACATTTATCAGTTTTAAAAAAAAATATTGTATGTCCGAGCACCTTTTTTTATCAGTACTTGTATGTCTAAGCACGCTCAACCAAATACTTTGTTTTACCTTCATATTTGAATGGTCAGCCAAAAGCTTTGATAGGTGATAATCAGCATTAGATGCAACCTTGTTTTTAGGATCTCCTAGCTGCAAGAAAGTGAAGAGGTATCAGCTGGAGCTCCACGGTCCCAAGAACTCTCCAGAACAAAGTAAATGGCACCAGAGGCAATGAGGTAAAGCAGCACCTTGTTTACTAGGGCAGCAAGCAATCGACGCTCTTGTTCTGGTTTGCACTTAAGCAAAACATAAACTGTCTAGAAAACATAAATACAAAGATAAGTATTTCCCCACTTTTTTGGATCACATAATCGAAGTCTTCCAACATATGGACACTCAGAAAATATCAAACTACAGGAAACCCAATTGCAGTGCAGATGCAACACCAAAATCAACACTTCAGACTGAAATACCGAGTGCAACTACTATGAAAGGAGCAAAATGAGAAACTTAAAAGCAAAATCTTGACAAGTAATGAAGCTATCCAAATTTTGTAGAAGCTTATTAACTCTATTTGGTTGAAGGTAGCGTCCTAATAAATTGGTATATTCAGAGAAAAAGATCGGTGTGATCCTCCAAATACTTTGAAAGGTAATAACAAATTATGTGTAGGTTAGCAGTTGCTGAGTTTCACTCAATTTTTAGGTCTCGATTTGACATTTTGAAGTCAAAAGTAAGATTTTCTCAAAAGTAAAGCATAAACTACATTGTCATAATAAATTTGAACTTCCTAATGAGGTTAAATGAATGGGGAGGCACATGGTCACCAGTGAGTAGTGAAAATAAGCAGTTCAATTGGCTTAGCGCAAAGAGCAAGAAGGAATAAAAGTTTCTCTCATGAGTCATTCTTTTCTCCTTTTCTAAGAGACAATTAGCTAAAAAAACGTTGAAGAATAATTTGCTTTGAGGAGAAACATAGATAGGCAACTATACAGATGTGCAATAAAACTGTCAATAACAACCTTTAATGCCTTGTCTTTGAGTATATCTAAGACATCTCTTGACGCTTCCTCAAGAGAAGTGATATACCGCTCATACCTGAAACAGAAAACCTTATTCAACTGAGAATCAACATCTTTTTTTTATATGGGAGAAAACCTTATTTAGTTGAAAATCAACATGGTAACAAAATAAACAAGCATATAATAAAGTGAATTATTGAAAAAAGATTCTAACATGCTCTATGAAATCATCAAATCGGGAACATTTAGAGTTCTATCAAATATATCCTAGCGCACAATGTCTATTCCCCACATTGATGGTATCATGATATTACAAGCACATGGGACCTATCAACCTAAAACCTATGGTGAATCATGGTCAACCTAACACCCACATCTATAATAACTCGTATACTTACAAACTGCTAACCGTGAATGCAGCATATAGGAGTAAGCCTGCTCGATTACCAAAAGGAACAGAGGAGTCCCACTTAGGTATCTAACCCTTTCTCTGATGCACTAAGATGAGGAGAGAACACTCAACAGCCATCAACCACGCAGGGCTATGGGTCAACTTGGGACACTCCCCCAAAAGTTGGCTCAAGTTTTAAAACAATGCTTCACATACACTACCATATTTGGAGCTCAAATAATCGAACCATGAAACACTTGCCGAAAAGTTTTGGCTTAAGTGTACCTTTGCTTCAAACATTCCTCCCAATACCAAAAGAGTAGAAGCGAATAACCATCTTTATTATCCGGAATATGATCTATCGGCCGCTGAAAGAGTGTCTTCAGCTTGCGATCAGGCAGCAGACTGGATAGAATAAATTCTTCAAAGTCAAATAATGAACGAACTAAGCATAATAAGGACGATCAATATGGAAAGAAAAACAAAGTTTAGCGCACCTAGAAACAAACAGTTCTTTCAATGCTTCAACACCTGCCAAAGCATGGCGTTTTCCAACTTTAGCTGTCACCATCCCTACATTGTCATTTTATCTTGATTAGAAACAAGCTCTCGCGACAAACAAACCCGGAGATAGAATCTTAATACTTCAGCCCCTTCAAGGCAGGACAAAGGAAAGGTTAAAAAGTTAATAATCTTGGACACAGACCAGATGAAAAACTAAGTAGGATAAATAAAGTCACAAGGCAGGAGGGCAAGGTCTGCATAAACCCTACCCTCCCTAGACCCCACCTATAGGATCACACTGGATATGTTGTTGTTGTACAAACCAGATGAAAAATTAAGTAGGATACATAAAGTAACAATAACAGAAAGTTATTAAAAAGAATCCCAACTTTTAGTATGTATAGCAGCAGGCGAATGAAAGTAAAGAATGGGTACATATGAATAGGATGCAAATTAAGGGGGATGGAGGAGAGGTGAGAGTTATATGTTTTACTTTGGTTGGTTTGGGGGAAGTGGGAGTTGATAGAAATAAATCTGAACCCCTTCTGCCAAACCAAACAAAAAAAAAAAAAACTGAACTAGAAAGGAAATATCAAGTAGCTACAACTATGTAATTCAAAACTTTCGTATTATTTCTTTCCTCTTTCCTTAGGGACCAGTCAAGGAAAAGGAAGAAACTCTAATTAATCCTCCTTCCCTTTCAGTGATTCACCTCACATTATCAGTGCAAAGTCTAGACCTTTTCCTTTCCCATGCCACTACACCTAAAAGTAACCTCCTTGATTGAAATAACCATATCTTTCTAGACTCAAAATCTGACAAAATGAAGTATTCTTACATTAAAAATGATTAGCTTCCATGAATTGTATTTCCTGTTGAACACCCATGTTTAACTGTGCATAAATAAAACCTCTACAATGACTCAATGAGTGCTCAAAATGAGTATCTCTAACTGCAAAGTTCAGCTCTTTATCAGTCATTTGCCTCATTTTTGTCAAGATCTGACTCCGCTTACATTCTTCTTCTTCTTCTTCTTCATGAGTTAAAGTTTGCAAATTCTTCATCAAATAAAAAAGCAGAGGAAAATAAACTGTTTTGACAAATGGACTTGAAAAGATATGTTTTTTTTTACAATATATGATACTAGCCTATAGCATGAGTAGCAAAAAAAAACCATAGTATGGATAACAAGCCATTAGTCCATCAATTCCCCAGAAGAATTTAGCTATAACCAGCAGAAAGTTCGAGAAGAATAAATACCTAAAAGAGCATCAAGTGATCTCAAATTGGCAGTTGGATTATCGCCAATCATAACAGAAAAGGCAGACACTTTATCAGCAGCAGTTCCTGACCTTAACGTGGTAAGTACCATCTTAATATCTCCACTTTGTCCTCGTGACGACTCATAGTCCATTGCATACTGCGCCAATAACCTCTCCCCCATTTCCTTCTTCTTTTCCACTTTCTTTTTCCACTCCTCTAAATTCTTAATCTCAACATTTTTCTTCTCCCCAATAACTTTATCTTCTAATTCTGCAGCATCAACGTACCATACCCCCGACGCGCTCGCTTTCACAAGCGGAAGCTTAGGCATGTTCTTGTATTTGCTGTGCGTTGTATTCCATAAATTATTGTCGATTTTTTCAGGTTCGGCTTTAGGCTGCGGCTTGGGATTTTTTATGAATTTATCGTTGTTATTGATTTTCTTTTTGTTGAACTTGTTTTCCTTTTCATGTTGAGAGCTTTTCTCGGTATTGGTATTATTATCATTTGTAGGTGGCTGTTTGATGCGACCTTTTTTGCGGAAGTCAGAGTCATCGAAGCCTGAAGACGGCGTGGAGGTGGCAAGACCGAGTGAAGAAGCGAAAGAAGCTACATCTGACTGGAGTGCTTCAATGTCTGTAGAATTTTTAGTCTTTGCCATTGCAAAGAGAAAAGAGTAGTGAAGTTGCAGGAGGGTTTTCCGAGAAGAGAGTGGTGAAGTTGCAGGAGGGTTTTCCGAGAAGAGAGAGAAAGGTTTAGCAAGAGAGAAAATTGAATCGGGCCAAAATTCGCTTGTACCTATTGGGCCTCCTCCAGCGTTTACAAAGGTTGGTATTGGGCCATCTACAAAATCAGAAGTAGCCTAATTTACTAAAAAATGAAAAAATTACCTTCTATAGCCCCTCAAAATTTTAATAGCCCATATTTTTACCCACTTACACGAAATGGCAATTTATTTGCAACTTGTAGCTATTATCTATTTTCAATGCATTTATCTTACCAAGATAACATTTAATCCTAGCATTTTTATCTTTCTTTCATTCTATCTAATGTACACCTTTTTATCTTTCTTTCATTCTATCTAATGCACAGATTTTTTTCCCATTACCATTTTCATTCCTATCCTTTTTTTTTCTATGTCTTCTTCGTCTTCCTTTTATCTTTTTTTGGTTTTTTTTTCATTTTCCTTCCCTTCTCTATCTCCCATTTCAGATCTATATTTTTTCTCTTTATCTTTTTTACTTCTCATTGGAAAAAATTGTTTGTGTACCTAGAAAAATCACAAAATTTTTAATTCAATTATTAAAAAGATTTACTCAATTACGATACATGATACAAGAGTAGCAGCAAAAGCCGTGGGGTTTTCTAGTCAAGCTTCTGCTTATTATTATTATTATTATTATTATTATTATTATTATTATTATTATTATTATTATTATTATTATTATTATTATTATTATTATAAAATGTATAAAAATTGTATATATACTATTACATTGTATAAATTTTGTATATAAAGTGTATCCTCTATATTTTAGTGTATCCCTAATGTATCATTAGTGTATATTCATCGTATAGTGATAGTCTGTTTTATATATATTTTGTATAGTGACAGTCTATTTTGCATATAAATTGTACAGTGACAGTCTATTTTGTATATTTTTGTATAGTGATAGTCTATTTTGTATATTTTTTGTATAATAAAAGTCTATTTGTACATATTTTGTATAGTGAAGACTATCCATGAGATAAAAATTAAAGAAAATTGAGACCTAAAGTTAGACTATGCATTAGTTTCCATCATCTTTGTTTCTCCTGTAAAATGCAATAAATCAAAAACCTTCAGCTCTATTACTGTTGCTATGGACACAACAGCTCAAAGAAACCTCTCAATTTTCTACAGTAGAAGACACTTCACCGTCGTTGGAGCCAAAGTCGCAGGAACGAGGTCTCCGTCAGCATCAGAGATTGGAAACTTACTCGTCGTCGCTTCAATTACAAAAGCTTTGACAGCACCAGAAGGAAAAAGTAACCTAGAAAAATACAACGATTCAATTCCCCTATGAGAAACCCTAGTCCCTTAAATCATCCTGGCTTTAGGTATGTATAATACGACGGCATTGAAGATCTCAAATTTCTGCTTCTTATCTTAGATTTCATTTTTCTATTTTGGAACTTGAGTTGGAATTGGAGAAGAGCGGTTTTTGGATGAAGGACGGAAGTGTGTAAAGATGGGATTTGAAATATAAGGAAGGATTGTGTTTCGGTGATAATTGGGTCAGTGGCTAGCCTTTTAATTAGTTTTGGGCTATAAAATGCATACTGCAATTATGTGGCTAGCGGCTGATATTAGTTTCTAGCGGTTGGCCATAAATGAAGTTTGCTCATTGAAAAATAGTCACAATTTCAAAAGTAATTAAAATCTAGTCACTTTTTATATAAGATAAAATTTAAACAAAAACGACCTTTAAAATCCAGAAAAATTCTAGCATAATATGTTGGAGTTCGAATTTTGTATACATGAGATTCCAGTATAATATGTTGGAATTTCATAATATGCTCGAACTTTATACGCATAAACTCCAAAATTCAGCATATTATGCTGGAACTTTTCGTGTTTCAGCTAAAATAGTGGTTATTTTTTAATTATTTTGCAAATGCTAGCTATTTTTTAATTATCAGTCTGAATAATGGCTAGCCCATACAATTTTACCCAAGTTAATTGATAAGTAACCACAATTCCCAGTTGATTTAAATTTAGCCACTTTATAATAAGTGGACAAACATATCCTCAACTAAACATCAAAACTCTAGTTTCTTTTTCTCTGCTTCTTCTTTTTCTCTTTAATATCCCCTATAAAGCTCATATGAACCTTGTGGGAAAAGTAACACATATTTAAGATATGTTCGAATACCTTATTTTGCATTAAAAAATCTAAATGTATAAGACTTGAAGACTGTATTTTTTGGAACTTAATGTTCTCTCTTCGCTTTTACTTTTTAGTTTCATTATTATAGAAACATATTATGTCGTTTGTTCTTCTTTTTATAGAGTTTGAACCGTGAAAAATGACGAAGTACATGTAAAAATGTTGAAAGTTGACGATGGATTTCATGAAAAATGTTGGAGCTATTGTTGGAGTTCAGGAAAAAAATAATAGTATTCATTAAAAAAATATTGGAGCTACTGCTGGATTTAATGAAAAAAATATCGGAGTTCATGCATAAAACGCGAGCGTTAATGTCGAAGTTCATGAAAATATATTGAATTTGATAAAAAAAGATATTGGAGTTCAAGCAAAAAAATATTAGAATTCAAGGAAAAAATTGGAGTAAATGGCAGAAGTTTAAGAAATATGTTGGGTTCGCAAAAAAGGTTGGAATTGGAACTTCTAACAAATAAAATTCACGTATAGTATCATGGAATTTAGAAAAAGCGAAAAAATGAAAAACTAGAACTCTCATCATTTCATATTCCAACTCCAACATAATATACTGTGTAAAAGTTTACACTCCCGTATAATACTCGAGTTCGAAATAACCAAAAAATATGAAGAAGAGGCCTTCTTCAGCATTTACTAAATTGGGAGTATTTTTGTTCAAATATTATTTTGAGTATTTTTGTTCAAATATTATTTTCGCTTGAAAAAGTGTCTATGTTTTAATTAGTTTTGAAATCGCGACTAATTCTCAATTACCGATTCAAAAAAATGGCTATTTCTTAATTTCTCGCGTTTTTTGAGAGGAACAAGTTCTAATTTTGGGCTTGCACTTTGAATTTTGAAATACCATCACTTTAAGGAAACTACACATTTGGTCACCCGATTAAATTTACATTTGGTAGTCAATATACATATGTTATATACTAATTATACACATATTGAATATTGGCACTTAATTTTTCGGGTGGGCAACTACACAGTGTAAAAAATTCCTTATTCTTTGAGAAATTTACACAAATATCCCAAATAAGTCTCAACTTACTAACTTGTAGCCATTAGTTATAGATTTACCAAAACTAGCCAAGCACATATAAAAATTTAAAAACCAAATAATAAAGTTCTTTCTCTCAAAGAATCGCATGCAAAAACCACCTTCTATATTTTTAAGCGTTACTAGCAACATTAGATGCAAGACGAAAAGAAAATTCCATAGTAGCAAATAAGATGATGAAATACAAAAAAAATATACAATATTCCAAAAATCTAAACAAAAAAAGGAACTTTTTCAATGGGTATAGTTGAAATTCACTGAAAACATATAAATAAGTCAATATATAAAATTTGAGGAAGACTGGAGATGATTTGGACTGGTTTTGTGTTAAAATTCGTAATTAAATCGAGTTCAAAAAATCATTGTGCGACACATGTACACGTATCACGCATATATCTCATGCACATGTATATATGGATATACATATGATACACAATTGATATAAATATGATACATACGTGATACACATTGTGATACACCATATCATTTTTTTTCATGTTCAGTTTTTATTTTGAATTTTCAATTCAAACCACCTCAAAATTTTACCAAACTATCCCAAAATTAAGATTCAAGCTTCTTAAGATGTACCCAATTTATTTTAATAATACTCACTCAAGAAAAAACAAAAATCTAATATTTTTTTGCTACAAATAGTTAACTGGCTAATATTATTAATATTTGGCTAATATTAGTAATATTTTATGAATTGACCAATTTTTGTAATGAACTACTTATAAATAGAGGTAGCCGGTAGTTTCCCTTCCCTTCATAGCCCCCGGAAAATAAATTGAACTTGGGTTAAGCCTTTCAAATTCCAATGAGCCTTTCAAATTCCAATGAGCCTTTCATATATTTATACTTTGATGAGTTCTTTCAAAAGCAATCTAACGAGTGTATAAATTAAATATAAATGACATAAATAATTCTTGAAGTGTACCTATTTAATTTTGTGACATTAACGACTTAGTTAGAATGAATATGACTTTTTTAGTAAAAGTTTTGTTTTATTGTTTAAATTAAGGCACAAATAAGCCACAAAATATAACTCCTATTTTTCTTATATAATACATTATTATAATAATGATGGAGTCAAAAAGTTTTCCGTTTGACGATGATAATAAAAATCAATGTGCCAATTAAGACTAGAGAGTTTGCTGCCATTATATTTTAAACCGAGGGAGAAGAACAATAGCCACAAAGCATCACAAATTATAGAGAGCCAGTTCGTTTCAAAATAAAGCAGAAAAAAGTATAATATACAACTAGTAGTGTTCCCAGCTTCAGTTTCTCCATCTTCATTAGTGAGCATTTTCAATTTAGCTTATGGGGTTTAAAAGTTGTGGCTTCTTTTGAGTTCGTCAAGGAAAACAAGAGCAGATTGTGCTCATTGTGTCCTGGTCTTTTATTTTAGGAAACAATCGTGTCGTTTTTTTGTTTTTGTTTTGGGGTTGGAGCACTTTTGTGGGAGTCACATGACTTGAACATTTTGTGGGAGCTATTAGTTTTTAACATATCCTAATGGAATGATGAAAGTACTCTGTTTCGAATACTTGAAGGAAAATTTAGGGAAAACTATCCTCTATACCCTCTCAAAATTTTAATAGCCCATGTTTTGTTCTACTTACAAAAAATGGCCATTCGGCCCAAAAGTATTGCATATAGTAGCCGAAAGGAATGAATATGATAACATAAGCACCTGTAGCTTAGTGGATAGAGCGCATGTTTCCTAAGCTGAAGGTCGTAAGTTCGACCGCTGCCTGGCGCATTATATAAATATTTATTTTGCAATGTATAAATATTGTATCCTA